CCACCCCCACCCACCGCCTTCCTAAGCTTGAGTATCTTGCCTTTTCCACTTTTCCCCCGGCTCCTCAGTCCCCTGCTCAGGTCTAGTCTTGACCCTGCACATGTGTAGAGAAATGGGTCTCTATGAGGCGCTAATCTATCTTGGATGGATTTGAGCAAAACACATACTCTTCTTAAGAGCACAGGAAGCTTCTTTTATTTCAGCCCCATAGGGCACCATCAGCAATCCCACCAACAGATGAGAAGAAACATAGTCTCAGAAATCGTTGGTAATTATGGGTTTTTGAACTCTATAGGTTTTCTTAAGAAATGGAGGGTCTGTTGGTTTTTGATGAGTTTTCTCAACAAATAATTATGACCCCTTTGGGCATTCAAAGAGAGTTGTGATTTGAGGACACAAAACACCTGCGGCATAAACCACTGCCTCACCCTTGTCCCCATGGTGTTGTGGTTCCTGGAAAATGGATAAAAGGCCCCCAGTTGCGTCCAGCGAAGACACATCTCATATTCAGCATCTCCAAGGAACCCGCAGATATTTGCTCCTGTCTGAGAAGATGTGAAGTCATCGGGTGAGGTGGGACTTTGGTGTGTCGCAGACACACTGAATCTGGGTGATTAGTAATGGCCCCGAGATCACTTACATAAGATATTCCAAAGAGACTGAACTCCATCATGCCTGCAATGAGAAGACACAGCTGTGTTGGACTAAGCAGCCCTTTGGGAGAGTAGGTTTGCCCCGTCTCCTCTGTACCCCATTCGAAATCCATGGGCCAGTCATGATGAACAAATAAAAAGATGGGTATAGATTAAAACTCACACCCATAGAGAACTCAGCACCTGTTGGTTACACTGCCCACATGCATGTTGATTAGATACGACCAATACAGACGAAGGGCACCCCCCAGGCCCCTCCCCACCAGCGGAGCCCCTGGGACAAGCCACGCACCAATGATCGACTTCCTCAGCTGGTCCCACGAGGCTGTGTTGTCTCCCAGCCAGTGCCCCCCCCAGCGGCCGGAAGAGGGGAACGTGGAGCGGGTGATGACAATCCCTCGCTCTCCTGTCACCTCCTGCACGGCTCTGGTGGGAGGGGAACAGGGAGATGAAATGAAGGTGAATTTGAGGATGGACATCCATGGAACTTCATTTAGGAGCATAGCTTCAGACTGGAGCAGAAGGCGGCAATTTTAGCCAGAGAGCTTCTTCCCTGAAAGCATCTGCTATTTAAAAGTGATGTTAATCCCCGGCCGGACATGGCTTAGTGGCTGAGCCTCAACTTATGAGCCAGGAGATCAGGGTTCGATTCCCGGTCAGGGCACATGCCCGGGTTGCAGGCTTGATCCCNTGCTGGGGCTCAGGAGGAGGGGACAAAGGTGGGGAATGACTGCTAATTGGTATAGAGTTTCCTTTTCAGATGACAAAAATGTTCTAAGATTTTATTGTAGTTATTGCTGTACAACTCTATGGATATACTAAACACAGCTTAACTGCTCACCTTATTTTTTTAATGAAGTATATTTGACATATACCATTGTGTAAATTTAAGGTGCACAACCTGTTAATTTGATACATTTATATATCGTAGTAAGATTGGCATTGTAGCAATAATTAGCACCTGCTCACTTAATTTTTAATGGAATTTATTGGGGTGACATTGGTTAATAAAATTACATAGGTTTCAGGTGTACAATTCTAAAATATATCATCTGTATAGTGAATTGTGTGTTCACCATCCAAAGTCAAGTCTCCTTCCATCACCATTTATCCCCCCTTTACTCTCTTCTACCTCCCCCCACCCCTCTTTCCCTGTGGTAATCACCATCTGTTGTTTGTGTCTATGAGTTTTGGGGGAGTTTTGCTTAATCTTTTCACCCAGCCCCCAACCACCCTCCCCTCTGACAGCCGTCAGTCTGTTCTCTGTATCTAGGAGTCTGTTGGCTATTCTGTTTGCTAGTTTATTTCGTTCACTAGATTCCACATATAAGTGAAATCACATGAATACCTACTTACTTTAAATAGGTGAATTTAGCAACCTACTTGGTTAATACAATTCTGGGGTGGTGCCGTTGCCTGGAAAACCACTCCTGATATTTTGACATTCATCTATTTGACTTGCACCATGTAGATACAAGCACAGTCTATAGATAACAGGACAAAAGCAGCAGTGTGGAAATGAGCCTTGCTGCCAGGACTAAGCACACTCACTCGTAGGTGGGTCTGGTCTGGGACCACCCGTACAGGCTGTGCACGTCGTAGTGGCGCACCCGGGAGCCGTCGGGCAGGATCTGCTCACTCTCCATGCACAGGGTCTTGCTGCTCAGGCCCCTGTCCCTGGACTCCAGATCTGAGAGGAAATGCTGAGTTATGTTCTGAACAACTTCATCTGCACATTCACTAGAAAGGCCTATCATCTTGGCATCACGATTTCAACCAACAACTTTGTTACAAGTAACAGCTCCAATTTCAAGAATTTATTTTGTCTACAAAAAACACACACAACACCACCTCAGTGTCCTAAGGCCTTGTAACTAATGAAGGACAAGGACAGGGAATGGAGCTGGTGAAGGCAGGCTTCTTTCTGCTCCAACTCCAGCATTTATAGAGGACGGCCATCGTCCCTTTATCAGGGCCACACACTCCTTTGTTGTTATGACTGTCTCCCACTGGAGGGTAATGTTCTCCAGGGGATAGATCTTCTTTCGATCAACTTTGTAATCACGTTGCTAAATCATTCTGATTTGTCAGTACTTGCCGGATACACAAATATTAAATTAAGGGAGGAAGGAGAAAAGTAGGAAAGAAAGGAGGGAGGGAGGAAACAAGGGAGGGAG